GGCTGTGGTCGTAGTGTGTGGCTTAACAAGTGCTCTTCAAATAGTATACTTAGCAGATCCATCCCCTGCAGCCCATAAGAGTCCTTTGCTTAAACATACCTGCCTCTGAGCTGGCCCTGGTGCACAAGCCTATAATGCTAGCTAGCACTTGAAGTGCAGGCACAGAGGTATGAAGTTCAATGTTGTCCTCACCTACATAGTGAGTTCCATGCCAGCCTAAATATGTCCCAGGGGATGAGATGAAGGTCTATGATTCTGAGAACATATGGACAACCAAAGTATCCTAGTTCAGGTTACTATTGCTGCAGTGAAACACCATGACCAAAAGCAAGTTGGGGAGGAAAGGGTTCATTAATAAAGGAAGTCAGGACAGGAGCTCAAACAGGGCAGGAACCTGGAGGCAGGAGCTGATGCAGGGGCCATGGAGGAGTTCTGATTACTGGCTTGCGCCTCATGGCTTGCTCAGTCAGCTTTCTTATAGAACCCAGGACCACCAGCCCAGGGATGGCACCACCCACCATGAGCTGGGCCCTCCCCCACCAATCACTAATTAAGAAAATGCTCTACAGGCTTGCCTACAGCTGGATCTTATGGAGGCATTGTCTTAATTGAGGTTCCCTCCTCTCAAATGACTTTAGCTTGTGTCAAGTTGACATAAACGAGCCAGCACACAAGGGAAAAGGGAATATTCTCAGAGGGCCATATATGTGATAGGGGCTGACCTCTGTATGCATCTTTGAAGGGTGTCAGAGAACTAAAAATGAAATCTGGCAAGAAAGAACAGCCAGGACCAGTTCAGGGAAGACCAGTTTCCAAGTCCTCTCCCAGGTCCTTTTCTGTGTTTGTGACTGGAAGGGCCTCTGGGGTCAGGATTACAGTTTACTGGGAGAGGCAGGGGATTAGACAGAAGAATGGAATTTCCCTTTGATAAGGAGAAGCCAAGAATTAATAAATCAGTTGATTTTTTTGTTGTTGTTGTAGTTCCTATGGTTTCCTGTTCTGTACAAGTAACATTTTTTTACTGAGAAATTGCATAACAAGACATTAACATTCACAGAGTACAAATTATCAGCTGATTATTTTTAGACCCAGTTTATCAGCCATTTCACAGAAGAACTTCATTTGGCTCAGATTCTAGTCCTCACTGAACTGAGAGAAGGTGGGACACCCCACTGCGAATTCAGTCTTTCTTAGCCCCTCCTTTAAGGGATGCTGGAAGAAAACTCAGAACAATTATGTCTGCAAACCTAGTTTGGGGGGGTTGGGGGGGCAGGGTCTTGTGTATCCCAGGATGCCCTTTAACCCACTGTGTAGCCAAGCGACCTTGATCTTAGGATCCTCCTACCCCACCTCTGCCGTGCTGGGATTACAGGAGTAGACCACCACACCCAGTTTATGCGGTGCTGGATCAAGTGCAGGGCCTTATACACAGCAGGCCTGTCCACAGCACGTCTGCAAACTTGTATCAACACCGCACCCAGTTTATGTGGTGCTGGATCAAGTGCAGGGCCTTATACACAGCAGGCCTGTCCACAGCACGTCTGCAAACTTGTATCAACCTAGCAGCAGCAGCAGCAGAGAATTCGGCACTCTTGCAAAATATGAAAGAGACTCACTCACTCGAGGTGGCAGGAGCAGCGTAAGAGCCTCTGCATCTCAATGGCAGGTGAGCCCCAAGATAACCTAGTGAGTCTCATTGTGACCTGCTGGTCAGCTGCCCAAGCCTCCGTTCTGTTTGGTGGTCTATTTCTCTCTGGAGGAGGATCCTTTCCCATCCGTGCCTCTGGATTGCAGCTTGTCTGTAACCATCTCTGCCAGGACCGAGGAAACATCGTCTCTCCAGCCTGTACAATTTTTCCTTCCTGGCCTTTGTCTTTTGGACAGCTGAGCACAGGACTGTTGGGGTATTTTGTTGAATGACATCACAGTGAAAACCAGGCATTATATGTGTTCTGGAGCTCTGTGGCTGAGAACTAGAGCAAGGGGCTGGCTTCTGGTGAGGGAGCACTCTGCCAAAGCCAACACCAGTTAGACTTCAGAATTCCATTCAGCAAGGCAAGTATTGGCACCCAGAAGAGCAGATGACCCCAGATGGGCCGAGGTAAAGTGCATGTGGTCCCTGCCACTCTACAGCATCAGCAGTACCTGGCAATTTGCTAGCAAACATGCTAGCAGGGTCTTACTGGTCAGAAACTCTAGGGTGAGCAACTAAAATTCGAGACTCCTAGTCCTCTTGGAGAGTTGAACCTCTCCTTTAATTGTGTATGTCCTCATTCCCTCCCCCACCTCCTGTCCTCTCCTCACTCTCTTCCTCCCTTCTTACCCCTCAAATTAAATACCTTGTAAATATATTGTAACCCCAATGTATCCATAATTATGTGGCAGTGATATCAGCCACAGTTTTTTCAGAATACCCTTGTTAAAACTAATATGCATCTTTAATTTGGGTTTAGGGTATGTAGAAGGGGGTATTCGTTTCAGGTAGAAGGTTTGAACCCAGGACTTCATACATACTACCAACTGAGGTGTGTGTGTGTGTGTGTGTGTGTGTGTGTGTGTGTGTGTGTGTGTGTGTGTCATCCACACATACATTTAAGACAAGTTGTTGCCCTGTAGCCCACAATGGCCTTGAACTCATGATCTTGTCTCAGCCTCCCAAATACTGAGGTTACAGTTGTGTATTACCACATTCAGCTTTATACTGACTTTTTAAAAGAAGCTTTGAGGTCAGGTGCAGTGGTGCACAGCTATAATCCTGGCTACTTTAGAGGCTGAAGGAGTTCGAGGCCAACCTGGGCAGCACAGAGAGACCTGTCTCGGGCATTTGATAAACCTGTATGCGTAGCTCAGACCTTATGATGGTCTGTAAGCCTGCTGCTAAGATTCGCTCTTCCTCCCAAACTCGCTAAAGATGCTGCTGCTGAGTCACCTGTCAGCAGCCTGGTCAGTGCCAGTGTCCCTGTCTTGGCTGGTTAGGAATGGCAGAGTTGAGGTTCTAGGTTAACTTTAGGTGCCATTGTTCTGGGTGCAAGGTACTACTGAAATCCCCAGGTTGGAACTGAGATGAGCTCAGATGGTACAGCTGAGCTCGCTCGAGGACACAGGGTGAGTGGCTGCTGAGCTGCACACAGACATGACTCTGTGTGTGCTTCTTCATTCCTCCCTGAGAAACGTGTATTCGGGAGAGTTGAGCAGTGCAAATGCTCCCTCGGGAAACCTTTGTCAGCTTCCCAGACCTGCCATTACCAGTGCTGGCCCTGGTGATGCTTCTCCAGACCTTGGTTAAACTGCAGGGAGATGATGCTGTGGCACACTTTTTAAAGCCAGTTTCCCTTAGGTATGGAGATAGAGCATGTTGGTAATCTGCTTGCCTGGCGTGGACAGACCCCAGGTCCAACCCCCAGAACTAGACAACAGTTTGCACAGGCACTATATGGTTCCCTTTCCTCTACTGTGTGATGAGGTGTGGTGGGGTATTTTGTTGTGCTTTGGTTGTCTTTGTTGACAGGGTCTTACTCTGTAGCTCAGACTGGCCTGGAATTCTACATAGCCCAGGATAAACTTAAACTTGCTACGGTCCTCCTGCCTTAGCCTCCCAAGTGCTGGGATTATACACATGGATCAGCCACCATGCCCAAATAGTAGTAGAGTTTGATTCTTTTGGTTTGGTTTTTGAGACAGGATATAACCCAGGATAGCTTTGAACTCCTGACTCTCCTGCCTGTTCCTAAGCACTGGGGTTCCAGTAGTGTACTACCACAGCTGGCTAATTCTAGCTTTTTAACACTCTTACTTTGCAAAATAAAAAATTGGCAACTGGGCTAGAGAGAGGAGGCTTAATAGTTAAGAACACATACTGCTCTTACAGAGGTTTGATTCCCAGCACCCACATCTGGCAGTTCACTGTGCCTGTAACTCCAGCTCCGTGGGATCTGGTGCCAAATTCTAGCTTCCCAGCACTCACGTGCACATACCCAACACACACACATGCATACACATAATTTAAAATAAAATGTATTTTTAAAAGTGGTAATTTATAGCTGTCTGCTCCATTACTTATGACTTTGTTTTATATTTTTAAGGCAAAGTCAGTCTCACTGTGTAGCCCAGGATTGCTTTGTACTCATAGTGATCCCTCTGCCTAAGCCTTCAAAGTGCTAGGATTACAGGATGAGCCAATAACATTTTACTGGGGAGTATTTCTCCAATGAGACAGGACATAACATAGCAGGAGGTAGTGTCCTTCCATGTGAATCCAGCCATTAAGTCATTATCCTAAGGATCAGAAATACACTTTACTCTGAAGAACGAACGAAAAACATATATGAAGATGAACTCAGATTGAGCATGAGACTCAGTTACACATTCTTGACTGCGCTGACCGCACTGATGGGAACATGCAAAGACTGCCCAACAGGAAAGGCTGGGAAAGTCCCATGCAAAATGGGACTACCAAAACCATCTGAACCTAGTGCAGACACAGTAGGGCTGGTTAAAATGAGGACTACCAAAACCATCTGAACCTAGTGCAGATACAGTAGGGCCGGTTAAAATGGGACTACCAAAACCATCTGAACCTAGTGCAGACACAGTAGGGCCAGTTAAATGAGGACTTGATCCTTTCGGTGAGACCATGGCTTCCCAAGGAAGAAGGAGCCCAAAGCAATCAAGCTTGAGATGACCAATGGAAAGGTACAGTTTAAGAGGCTGCTGAACTTGTGCCCTGCTGACAGAAGGTACTCATGAAAATGAAAATGTAAGAGACCCCAAGACCCAGTCCTCACTGCCGTCTGTGTGGAGCCACCAGACAGTAACGGTAGCTGTCAGTCCCAGATGCACACTAGAATGACCTGGGTCACTTTAAAACTAAACTGCTAAGACTCTCCCAGACATGTGATCAAGTGTCCCTGAACATGTTTTCCTAAATCTCCCCGATGAGTTTCACACGCTCCCTGCGCTGAGAACCACTGTAGGAAAGGAATTCTTTGTTATCTCTACAGGTGCTTATAATAAAAAGTTGGACACTCCTCCCTCCAGCCGCCTGTTCCTTCTAGAGGCCCCGTCCCTCGGTTCTGGATCACAGTTTCCACCCATGGGACCTCCATGGAAGCAGAGGCTGGTCTTTTCAATTCACCGCCTCGTGAGTCTTGAGAGAGACAAGAAGACAACTGTACGTGGCAGGCCAGTGTCTACACTGTGGAAGCCCACTGCCCCACTGCCTGCCAGCAGCATCGGATCGTGCTCATTCATTCTTCTGAATTCTTAGTCACACTTCCTTTGGTGTCTTCCTTACAGAGAAAATGCACCATAGTGAATGCCCTTCCTCTTCCCTTCCGGGAAGTACCAAACTAGCATCAGTGTGCTTTGCTTAGAGTTGCAGTTCTTGCCTCCCCACTCACTAACCCAGCAGACCCTTGGGAGAGTTCTCCCGAGTGTGCCTCTCAGCTGGGACACAGGATCACCTGTCAGCATCTTAATAAGGCAGTAATCTGCACAACCTGAACCCAGCAGAATCCAAACCTGCTAGGATCCGTGCATGCATGCGTGCAATCGAGGGCTGTGGTTTTCAAAAAATGTCTGGGTTAGCAGCAGCTGCAGCAGCACCTGTAAGGGCTAGAGGTGTGACTTCCTCACTGAGAACTGGGTCGGTGGCTAGGCCAGGCATGGTGGCTCACACATGTGATCCTAGCACTTGGGAGGCTGAAGCGGGAGAATTGCCACAAATGCATACATACGAAGGTCCAGGCCAACCAGGACCTTTTTGGGATAGTCTCTCTCCAAAACCAAAAACGTAGTAGAGAGCTTGCCTGGCATGCCTAAAGCCCTACCTGAGGCTCTAGCACTGTGTGACCCAAGTGTGGTGATGCCAGCCTGCAACCCAGCATAGAGGATTTGCAGGGTCCGCAGTTCAGGGTCATCTTCAGCCATGTAGCAAATTCAAGGCCAATATGGGCTACCTGAGACCTTGTCTCAGCAATTAGTTAATTGGTTAATTAGCTAAAATGGAATAAGACTGATCCCTCCAGGGGAGGCACCCTTGTGTTTCAGCAATTCTGGGGCCAGAGAGATGATAAAAGTACTTGAGTCTGATCCCTGGAACCCATGTAAATGTGAAAGATGAGAATCAACTCCACATGGTTGTCCTCTGCCTCTGTGGGTGTGCTGTGCATTTCCGCCATGATAAGTGAAATGAAGTTTGAAAGGAAAGCTTAGCTCTGGTGTATCTCTGTGTCACAGCAATCTGGAGAAAGTATGGCGTGAACATAGTTTGATGCTTTTCTACCTCATGGTACAGACGTAAAGCAGACCCCTTAGATGGTCCTAGATCTTCCATCTCTTCTCACCGAGCATTCCCAGTCAAGCTCCTTTTTAACAAAGAGTTACTTTATTTTATTTATGTCTCTCTGTGTGTGTGTGTGTCTGTGTCTGTGTCTGTGTGTATGTGTGTGTCCGTGTCTGTGTATGCACACATGGTGCCCGCAGAAGCCAAAAGAGGGTCAGATCCAGGGGTGAGTACTGGGAACTGAACCCGGGTCCTCTGCAAGGACAGCAAGTGCTCTTAACCACTGAGCCATCCCTCCAGCTCCTGAAAGGCATATTTTTATCTGTTCTCAGTAGTACCTATTGCACTCTTTGGTCTCTCTTCCAGCCTTTGTGTTCTCTTTACCTGTCTTAGGTGGGTTTCTACTGCTGTGACGATACACAATCACCAAAAGGAAGTCAGGGAGGAAAGGATTTATTCGGCTTATACTTCCACGGCACTGGTCAGCACCGAAGGAAGTCAGGGCAGGAACTCAAACAGGGCAGGAACCTGGAGGCAGGAGCTGATGCAGAGGCCATGAAGGAGTGCTGCTTACTGGCTGGCTCCTCATGGCTTGCTCAGCCTGCTTTCTTCCAGAACCACCAAGCCAGGCATGGCACCACCCCCAATGGGTGGGCCCTCACCCATCAATTACTAATTAAGAAAATGTCTTACAGCCAGATCTTGTGAAGGCATTTTCTCAATTGTGGTCCCTCCTTTCCAGTGACTCTAGCTTGTGTCAAGTTGACCTAAGACTAACCTATTGTTTCATTGGTGACTTGGGCCAATAGTTTAACCTCTCACTTGACTCATCTGTGAAAAAGGAATAATAATAGTAGAGCCTGCCTTATTCGTGAGTAGTTAAATGGGTAGAGAAACACCCAACAGTGTCAATTTTAAAACCATTCTTATTCATAATGTTAAATAATAGGTATACAATATTTTATAATAACAAAACAGTACCTGGTACATAAATACTCAACAACTGACCTCTGTGATTCACTGGCAATTTTAGACAGTAGACATTTGAGGGTTTTTTTATTAACAATTTTTTATTGACTCCTTGGGAATTTCACACCAGGCACCCCAATCCCACTCATCTCCCAGTCCCTCCATATCTGCCTCCAACCTTGTTGTGTTTCCCCCCCCACACACAAGGAAAACTAAAAAAGAATAATAAAAATACAAATAAGAATGCTAATTTAAAAACAAACACAGTCTGGTCTACAGAGCAAGTTCCAGGACAGCCAGAGTTGTTATGCAGAGAAACCCTGTCTCAAAAACCAGAAAAACAACCAAAACACTTCACTCCTCCATCTTTCCTGCCCTCCTTCCCCTCTTCATTCATCCTTATGGCAGTGGGAGCTGCTGTGTATCGTGCAGTATGCCCTTTTGTCCACACAGCTTTACTAGCTTCACTTGCAGATGTTCATGGTGTAATGTGTTGTTGGTCAGATTCAGGGCCTCTGGCTTCTGCTACACCACCAATACTGGACCCTCACAGAAACTCCTCTCTGATATCCTGCTGTTGCCCAGATGGAGTCATGGAGATCCTGCAGCTGTGGCTCCAGAGGACCAGTGCCTTCACACGCTCCAGCAGGTCATAGTTGGGGAGTGCCAACTCAAAGCCTTGGATGTGTGTCTGGGTGGTTGACATTTGAAATTTTCACAGTTGCCTTTTCAATATTGTGTGCATGGCCTTTATTCCCCTTTTGTCTGAAGGCTCTTCTATACTCGATTGTTCTCCTTGTCAAGTCTGAATCATCCTGTGTCCCAGAGTACTCAGAGCATCAACTCCACTGGCAAGGAAGACCAGGGTGTCTATACCCCAGGGACTTTCTTGAACATGCCCCTCCCCTAATCCTAGGATTTAGCAAGACCCCAGAGGAAGCAAGCTGGTTCTGGATGTCCCACTCTGGAGTCCAAGAGACCAACACTCTACCTGGAACATCCCCTACAGATAGTAGGTTCCTCCAAAAACTTTTACAAAATGACCCAAGCAGTGTGGGTTTTAGTTACATTTGGGTTTTATTGTTTTGGTATGGTTTTCTGAACTAAGGTCTTCCTGTGTAGCCCAGGCCAGCCTGGAACTTGCTGTTCTCCTGCCTCGGTCTTCAGCCTGTTGGGATAATAAGCATGTACCACCAGCTTGGTTCTTGATGATATTTTTTTAAGATTTATTATTTCATGTGTAAGAGTATTTTTCCTGCATGCATGTATTTGTCCCACATCCGTGCCTGGTGCCCTGGAGGTCAGAGGAGGTGTTGGGTCCCTGGAACTTACGGCACAGATGTCATGAGCCACCGTATTTGTAGGTGTTTGTAGGTGCTAGAAGCCAAGCCTAGGTCCTCTGCGTGAGCACTAAATGCTCTTGCCCTCTAAGCCGTCTCTCCAACCCCTTCTTAGAAGCAGATCTCGAGCCATGTTCCTGACTTCTCTCCAGTGAAATGTTGTCCTTACAGTGCAGTGGGTGGAGAGGGTAGGAAATGGCACCCAAAGACCATAGAGATGGAGGCCTTCTCCACTGTACCACACTGGGAGTGGGGTCTTAACAGTGGGAATGGCTGAGGATCCCAGCTCCAGGGGCTTCCTGGTCTCTGTAACAGATGCTGGCCTCCTACAGTGAGGCTCAGATGTTAGTCAGGAGGAGAGGTGGAGACGAAATTCTAAACAGTCTTAGTAAATAAGAAACACAGAGCCAAATACAGAGGTAATAGCCAAAGAGATCAGAGAGCAATAACTACCTTACCTTACCACCTCACCGCCCTCGCTTCCCCAGAGAGAGAGCTTCTTCCTGTCTGATTTGTGTTTTTATTGCCTTTCTGTTCTGCTTTCTCATTGGCTCTAAGCCCAGCCACATGACTTCCTCGTCACTGCCTGTCTATATAGACCTCCAGGTCTCTATGGTTGGTACTGGGATTAAAGGCTTGTCTCTGTATGTCCTTGACCACACAGAGACTCTTCCTGCCATGTGATCAGATTAAGGGCATGTGCTACCACTGACGGACTTCTGCTTATGGCTTGCTATGTGACCTCGCTATGTGACCTCTGATCTCCAGGCAAACTTTTTTTATTAACATACAAATAAAATCACATTTCAGCACAGTTAAAATATCACCGCAGAGAGGCGTTACACGTGCCAATGGTCGTGGCTGCTCTAGTTTCATTCCCGTTACTGTGTTAAAACACCCAACCCAAAGCATGGTAGGGAAGAAAGGGGTTATTTTGGTTTATAATTCCAGGTTACAGAGAAGTCAAGGCAGGAACTTTCTCGAGTCCCCATTCAAGAGCAGAGACTCGGGCCCAGCCATGCTGCCTGCTTGCCACTGTTTCTTCAGCGAGCTTTGTTTACACAGTTCAGGGCCCAGCCACTGAAATGGTGCCACAGACCCAGGCCATCTCCACAGACATGCCTACAGGCCAACCTGATGTAGTTCTTCAATTAAGAGCCTCTTCCGCAGTGATGCTAGGTTGTGGCAAGTTCACACTAACCACCACATCCCCTTACCACACTGGAATACCTTCCAGGGTTGGCGTCTTTTTGAAAGAACCCGTGTTGTATAAACATTCCTTGTTTTAATTCTAGAATTAGTATAAGTTTATGTGGATCTTTTAAGTTCAAAGCATTTCCTAAGCATTAACTCTCTCGCCCTCCTGTTTATGATAGTTCTCTACAAGTCAGCAGAGTCTGTTGAGCTACATTGAGATGTCAGATATTTAGTGCTTTGTATCCTGAATGTTCCCCGGTAAGCCATCCAGGGGAAGTTATTCACCTTCCTGACTTGTGCAAATGCTGTTGGTAGACCATCTGAATTTCAGCAAGGTGCCGGATGACATTCCCCTGATGTTCTTGTCGACGAAACCCTCAGAGCAGCACATAACTGCAGCTGACTAGAACCAGAGAGAACTGCTCAGACCTGAGTAGAATGGGAGGCAGGTATACAAACACTCAGTGCAGATCTCTGCCTCCTGCTTGCCTAGCGACGTTGTTAGTAACTGTTTGGTTGTGATACTTACAGCATTCTGTGAAACTGAAGCCACCTGAACTTTGTCAGATGATGAGTCTGTTGTATGAAGAACTGGGTCCTGGGAGAGACCTTACTCTCCCCTAAATCAGTCCCAGATTCTTTATCACTTCAGTCCGTAAGCCATCTTTTTCCCTAGCCATTCGGTCTTAGTCCATGGTCTGCTGCTATAAAAAGAATGCCACAACCTAGGTGCATTAGAACTGATGGTAGAAGTTTGTTTAACTTAGAGTACTGGAGACTTAGAAGTCCAGAACTGGGATTGGGGGGCGGGGTGTGAGGTGGGGAGAAGTTCCCGTCTCTATGACATGACAGGACAAGTGAGCATACATAAAACTAAAAGAACAAGAAAGGGTCCAATTCATAGTCCTCATGACCTAATCACCTCTGAAAGCTCCCCTCTTAATCCAGGCATGGTAGTGCACACCTGTCATCCCAGCACAGGGAGGTACAGCAGGAGGAATACCCTGAAGGGCAGGCCAGCTTGGGTTGCAGAAAGAGACCATGTCTGAAAAAGCAAAACCAAAAGTGGACCTCTAGATGCCATTCCACTGGTAACCACACTTCAACAGAGGTTTGAGTGGAAACATTCAAACCATAGAACCTTTTTCTCTGAGGCCTTACAGTTCCCTCCTGGACTACGGGGGAGTGGGTTCTCTTAGGTAGGGTTTCTATTGCTATGAAGAGATGACCACGGCAACTCTTATAAAGGAAAACATTTCATTGGGTGGCTTACAATTTCAGAGGTTCAATCCATTATCATCATGGTGGGACATGGCAGCGTACAGGCAGACATGGTGCTGGAGAGGTAGCTGAGAGTTCTACATCTTGCAGGCAACAGGAAGTAGTCTGAAACACTGAGCGTGGCTTGAGCATATATGAGACCTCTAAGCCTGCCTCCACAGTGACCCACTTCCTCCAACAAGGCCACACCCACTCCAGCAAAGCCACACCTCCTAACAGTGCCACTCCTTTTGGGGGTCATTTTCTTTCAAGCCACCACAGGGGGTCTTTGTTAGTGGCTTTCCTTGAACTCCTAATCTACCTCCTGAGTACTGAGATTATAGGCACGAGGCACCATAGTGGTCTTTCACCTGATTTCCCAGCTGTAATGTTACCCCCTCTGCAATAAAAAGACTTCAGTGAGCATGTTCTCCTGACTGTTAACCTCTCAGGCAGATGTAGCAGCATGTACCTGCAAGCACTTTGGAAGTTGAGGCTGGAGGATCACAAGCTAAAGGGCAGCCTGAACCTTAGACAGCTTGAGCAGGAAGACCAAGAAGGAGTCAAGGTCATCCTTGGGTAAACAGTGAATTCAAGGCTAGTTGAGACCTTTTCTCAAGAAACAATAGGGAGGAACTGGAGAGATGTCTCCGTAGTCAAGAGTGCTTGCTGCTCCTGCAGAGGCCCCACGTGGTGGCTCACGATTACCTGTAACTCCACTTCCAGGAGATCCAGCGCCCTTTTCTGGCCTCTGTAAGCACTGCACACAGTTGGTGCACAAACATTCAGGCAAAACATGCATACACTGGTTGGGGATTTAGCTCAGTGGTAGAGCGCTTGCCTAGCAAGCACAAAGCCCTGGGTTCGGTCCTCAGCTCCAGTTTAAAAAAACAAAACAAAACAAAAAAAAACATGCATACACATAAAATTAAAGTTTAAAAAAAAAAATAGACAGATAGGTAACCAGCTCCCCAGTGGCATTCTCTTACCTACAGAATATGTACATTCTTTTACATGGTCTTCTTACCAGTGATCAGAGTCTGGGCCTCATTCCCCCCTTAGGATGTATTTATTTTTATTTTCTGTATATCAGTATGTATACCACATGGTGCCTGGTGTCTACAGAGGTTAAACACAGTTGTAAGCTGCCATGTGAGTGCTGGGAACTTAACCCAGGTCTGCTTCAAGAGCAGCCATGGCTCTTGACCACTGAGCCATCTCTCCAGCCTCAGTTCTTGGCCTCTTAGCCAAAGAATTGAAAATGGGGACTCCCGAAAGTTCGCAGTAGAAGCCAAGTAAGTTTCCTTGGAGCGGAGCAGCAGTGCAGGTTAGAGAGGGAGACACTGTCAAGGTTGACCGCGGGCTGCACTGGTGAGGGAACCGCTGAAAGGCCTCAAGCCACACCCCGGGGGCAAGGGGAGGGAAGAGTTGGTTACTCAGGGCCATAGTTTGGATGGTTCTCTGGTTTGGTTGACAGATTAGGTCATACATTCATCTTTTTCCCGATGAGTGTGTCTCCTCAATTATGCATCGATGTTAATCATGTGTACATGAATTGTGAGAGGCATCAGAGTGGTGAATAGGGTGTTCTCCCTAGAGTTTACGAGAAGACATGGTTCTGCCTTACTTCACACGCACCCAAAGCCAGTTCAAGGCTAATCAGCCTTTCTCTTCTTCATTCCTGGATACACTGGCAGAACACTTGAATAGAAACTGTCTAAATTTGATTATCACTAGGGACTGGAAAACTTAAGCTATTGTTCAGAAATGGGAGTGCGTGTAGCCTGATGCAGGTGGAGTTCCTTGGGATGGGGAGCTGAGGTTTTAGGTACGTTGTTGAAAGGGGGAGTGTACCTAGTACATGCAGGTTAAGAAAGTAGGCTGCCAAGTACATTGTTACAAGAGGGAATGTGTGTCACCCAAAACTAAGTTGGGTTCCAGGGTGCTGAACTGTCTCTATGCCTGCCCTGGGAGGACACATCCTGGCCATCTTCCTTCCTTACCTCATCCCGTTCTTCCTCACTTCACATTCTGTGTTCTAGGGAAGCAGACAACCTGTAACTCCCCATGGGATCACTTTGTTCAGGTGGTTCCCTGGGCTTTGATGGGCCCACCACGTTCTTGCCTTTTCCCCCTTGGTTTGCGCCGTTATATGGGAATCATGGGCCATACATGTCTCTTTCTTAAAGACGACTACCATTTCCTTAAGGGCAG